GATCGAGAGAAAGTTTCTTTTATTTAATTTTTTTTTTTTTTTATTTTCTTTCTCCTTTTATATTCTCCTTTCTACCTTTCGTTGATATTCATTACTCGTGTGATCTGAAAAAGTAAGAGCAAAAGTATTTATGATCGACACTGAAGTTAAAATGTTCTTTAGAGCATGTTATCTCGGCTAGTAGAAAGTGCATATGATTTTCTTGCAATTATTCGATGCATCATCAATCCTTTTTCACGATATCAAAGACAATATTAATTTTCTTTTTTCTCTATATATATCGAACTTTGAATTATTGAATTATTTCTATGGAATGATAAATCATTTCTTTTTTGTTTTATAAAATATCACACACACATATATAGATATATATATATAGAGAGAGAAAGAGAAAGAATTTTAACGCACTTTGCCTCTCCTTCACTCTCGAATCATCGACTTGTAAAATTTCGACCACATAATATAAACTCATAATTAAATGTCGGCGAACTTCCGTTTAGGGTAAAAATGGAAGGATAGCTGTTTGTGCCCTTTCACCTTGTTCCCACGAATGTAAAAAAGAAAAAAAAAAAGAGTACTCAAGTACTCGAATAGTTTGAGTTAGGACAAAAAATATTCTATCATGAAGAGAAAAAGATAGAAATAGACAGATAGAAAGAAAATTCTATTTATACGAATATATATATCTGTATACGAAGTACATTGTAAGTACGGGTCTCTCTATCTGAATTATCTATGTGTATGTACATAATATATATTATCGCTTTCCAAGTATTAGTTATCTATACGTCCGTCGTCCTTGTGTGGGCATTATCTGTGCATGTGTAGGATTGTTCGTGCGTATGGAAGATTATGGGTGTGTCGGTATCCGTTACACAGAGAGAGGTCACATGGGCAACGAGCGCGAACTTGTCTCCTCTCTTGCCTCGTGCGTCTGTCAGTTTGCATCGTGCACTCGAACGAGCGGGAAGTGCATTCCCTCTCTTTCTCTCTCTCTCTCTCTCTCTGTTTCTTTCTTTCTCTCTTTCTATTCTATCCAACTATTTATCTATCTATATCATTATTATATCGTGAGGCGTGACATATACAATTTCTCGGTGTTTGGATTTATTTCCATTCCTCTCCCTCAATCTCCAAAACGATTCCGAATTATTGGATTTGTTTTTCTTTTCTTTCTTGTTTTTGTTTTTGTTCTTTCTTTTTTTTTTTTTTTTTTTTTTTTTTTTTCTTTCATCGTCCTTCGCATCATCGACGAGGTAATTATTTCTAAACAATTTTTTAATAGGACATATGTATATGGAAGATCTTTATGTTATTGTTGATGAATGTCGATATCTCTCTCACTCTCTTTTTTTTGTTCTCTTCTTTATTTTTTTTCTTCCTTCTTTTTTCTTTTTTTCTTTTTTGTTTAATCTCTCGTAGATGCATCAACAGGACAATTATGTATCCGTTTGTCTTGAGGATCCATTATTTAGACTATTATCTTGTCCCATTAAGATCACAGATGACATTCTAAAAGAACACTTACGCTTTTCTGTCTTAGTTAATATCATCGTGAGTCATAAAGACGAGTCATTTCAACGATCACGTAAGGAATTCCATGGTCAAAGTTGTCCTTTTTTATATATATATATATACGTAGTTTTTTCTAGTCTTTCGAATAGATCTCTTTACTTAATTCGCGACGAATAAGTTATAAAAGAGATTCCTTTTCGTTCGTAAGCTATGCCCTTTAAACTTGGAGAGTACCCTCTAGTAATGCGATCGTCTTCCGGGGCTCTAGACGTAGTTTGTCTTGTTTTCTCTATGCCGACGCCTTTTAAAAATCACGAAATTATTCAGACGAGTAAATTCGATATCTCCATGGAGTTTAAAGTTTAAGCTAACAATTTTGTCTTGGATTTTCTAAATGTGATCGAAATAATGCGAAATAATTGAGCTGAGAAATAGCGAAATTTAATTATTTGATAAGTAAAAAATTAAAAAAAAAAATAAAAAAGAAAAAGAAACTTTATACTATATATCATGAAATATCCAAAAAAGGGTAGTACGTAAGGGTAGTACGTGCTCAACGTTCGATTGCTCGATCGTCTCAAAGATATTCATATTCGTGTCAAGAGGGTGCAACGAAGCATAAACGTGTTCGGATCGATCGGCTTAAGAAAAGAAAAAGAGAAAGAGTGGGCCGGGGGTAAAAGGGAGGTGAATTTGGTGGGATAGGAATAGAAAATTTGCTTTTCTTCTTTCAAATCTGTGCTCTGCGCATAGGTATATATGTACGTATTTCTCCGTACAAGTTAGCTTACAATTATTTAGATGCGATTCGTGTTTCATTCATAATCTTGGCTATCGGAAAAAGTCTCTTTTAGTCGAGCAATATAACCAGAGTGCATAATTTTGTTTTTTTTTTCGTACGTGCGCTTTGCTGCATTCGTGTTTCGATGTATTTCTTTTCTCCGCCTTTTCTCTCTTAGCACGAGAAAACTTTGGGAATGAAATGTGATTCGTTCATTGATCTTTATTCGTTCATTAATAAAAGATCTATGAAATTGGCCAAAATTAATTATTTATTTTTTTCTCTTTTCGAGAAAAAACAAAATATAAAAGATAAAAATATCGTATGCACATAAAAGATGCGCTCCAAAAAATCAGGACACGTGTGCATGATGTATAAAAAATAAAAAAAAAAAAGAAAAAAAGGAAAATAAAAAAGGAAAAAAGAGAAAAAAGTATTACGTCTGGTGTCATTATGCAAGCAGTACGTTTCTCTATAGGACACCTTTTGTACGATCTTTTGTTGACGCACGAAACTGACTGTGAGTGAGATAAAGACGGGCAAACAGAGAGAGAGAGAGAAAAAAGAATAAAAAAAGGAACATCGTTCTCCATGAACGTGCACAAAGCTTCTCGTGCGCGTAACGAGTTCGTAAGAGATATGCCTGGCTCTCGCACGTTAACTCGTTCATATTTCCATGAAAATCCGTTTCTTTTTCCTTTCTGACGAACGATGAAATGTGATTAAGCATAAAGGAAGATAGAAAGAGAGAGAGAGAGAGAGAGAGAGAGAGAGAGAGAGAGAGAGAGAGAGAGAAAAAGCATGTGTCCTTCAGAAAGCCTAAACGATTGTAATTTTTATCAATTTATTTTTATATATTAATGAAAGAAAAGGATCTATAAAAAATTTTTTTCGAACACAATATCGGGAATATATGTAACAAAACAAAGCAGAATAAAATAAAATAGATTTTTTTTTTTTTTTTTTTTTTTTTTTTTTTTTAAATTGATCACTCTCTTTCTCTTTTATCTTGATCATATACAAGAAACTTTGTATACGAGTAACTATAGAAAATATTAAGTTCCAAAGCGTGCAAAAGATGATGATGAGCATCGAAACGAGTCTCTCTGAGCACGCTACGGTACTCAAAAGTTTTTTCACCGTGACCAACAAACGATAAGTTTCTTCCTTTCGAGATGCACGTTAACTCGCTCTTCGAATACACCAAGCGCGAAACGCCTGAAAGAAGGCGACATTACGCTAACTATATACATATATATGGTGTGTATGTGTGTGTGATTATGTATATATGGTGTGTAGTGTATTAGGAGAGATCCCCTAACTCTTTCTTTCTCTATCTCTCTCTCTCTCTCTCTCTCTCTCTCTCTCTCTCTCTCTCTCTCTCTCTTTCTGTCGTGTCCCTCTTTCGTGTTTACGTACGCGTCAAACAAACAAGTTCTAATGAATTCGGTTAGATAAAGGGGAGAGAGCCAGAACTCAGGAAGGAAGTGAAAAATATTTCGTACTTTTTTGTCCGGAAGTTCTTCCCCCCTTTTTATTTATTATTTTTTATTCTCCTCTCAAGTGTGTTGAGAAAACACAAGGGAGTATTATAAATTTAGTAACAATGGATTGTGTTATTAGAAACTCCATTGAATTAAATTGATAATGAAAGATGGTAGATATAGATACTACAGAAATTTAGTCGTAATCTAATTATCTCGTTCGTTAATTCTCTTAAATTACATTCAGTCATACATACATCGGTGCATATTCTTTCGTTTTCAACAGTGATTCGTTAGAAGAGTAAAACGAGAGAAATCATCGTGGAGCATTCGTTTGTCATGTTAAAGATCGTTAGCAGATTGTTTGTTCTCACATTGTAAAATAAGAGAAATTTTTTGTCATTGATTTCAAAAGACCGTAAGATCGTAAAACACACATAGAACAAGAATAGAAATTATTTTTTACTGAGATTAATGATAAATTGATATTACTTTATAGTATAGAGTTTTATAATTACAACGATGAAATTATTTTTCATATTATTTAAAGTAAAATAAAATAGTTTATTGAATAAATTTTTCATAATATACATTGGTCGATAAATCAATCTTTCAAACAGAATTAAATAAAAGAAAGATAGAATTAACGAACAACAAGTACGTCAATGAAGATCGACATAATCTAATAAGGAAGTCACGATCGAAAGATCGAAGAAAAGACTTCCGTGTTCTTGTTATTAATAATTATTAAAGAAGAATTTCTAGAAAAAGGAGAGAAAAAAAAGAAAAAAGAAAAAGTAAGAAGAAAACTAAAACCAAAAATCGAAAGGCTATATAATAATTTTCAACATTTTGCATGAGCCGTTGAAAGGATGATAAATACACTGTAGTGTTCATTCGTGCGTGATCATTAAAAAAAAAAAAAAAAAAAAAAATAAAAAATAATGAATAAAAATATTTCTCAATGTACATATATGTCAGAAGAATTTTCTTCATTCCAGGTTGATTAAACCGGTTGTGCTCGTATAGATTTTATAATGTTACACCTGCAATTATAAAATGCAATCGATGCATTTCACGAATGAAATCTTCCTAATAATAATAATAATAATAATAATAATAAAAGAAATTGCAGGAATACCATAAAATATTTATATAATAATAACTGCATTACCAACTGGTAATAACACCGTTAATCAAGTTAACCACTTGTTTTTCAGGTGATTGCTAACGGTCTAAAGAACGATCCCTCGGACAGCTGCGACGTTTTGACGAACGGTGAGTCACTCCTTTAGATTTCCTCTATGATCTTCATTCTATCTTCTCTTTATTTCTTCCTTTTTTTTCCATCGCGTGTCATCGTAAAGAGTTATAAGCAGCGACAAAGGGTGATCCATTAGACGGGTTAGACGAGTAAATCCTGTGTCATCGGCCTGAGATAGAAATGATCTATAATCCTCACTTCCCCTTCTCCTTTTTAATATTACAATATGGATTTAAAAGAATATCTTTATAGGGGCTGTCCTTTTATTAGAGTTTTCAATTCTTTTTTATTTCATTTTATTTTATATTTTTATATTATCCTACATTACCGACCGTGTTTAATATTCATTCATATGACTCATTGATAATTGAATGCGTAAAATCAGCTGATTTATATATATCAATGAATTAAGTATAGCATAACGCAGTCGGTAATGTAGGATACATTTAAAAAAGAAAGATGTGTATATATAATAAACCAAACAAATTCAATTATATCAAAAATATTCTAAATTAATATATTATATATAAACATATATATATATATATATATTCAAAATTAAAAAATTATTACATATTATATTATTAAAATGAATCTTTTCCCTTTTTAAAATGATATTTAATTAGATACATTTTTTCGCGAAATTAGTACAAAATCCTACACTGAATGTGTCCTTAACTCGATATCATTTAAAGCAGGCGTTCATCATGATCTGCCTGGCATGCATTTTCTCACGCTACTTCAGCTGCTCCTTACGGTGCAATGATCTCTCTCTATCTCTCTTCTCCCTTTCGTACCCGTACACATCTGCCTGAAAATTACTTTTATCTCCAGCCCTTTCCCTCTCGCCACGACAATTCGTTCGGCTCATTCGTTGCCGGACCTTTCTTTTCTCTCCCTTCTTCTCTCTATTTTTCTCTCTTTCTCTCTTTTTAAATTAATGAACATAAGCCTTGATAGTATAGTGACTATCAACTCGTCTGTGGTTTTGAATGCTATCAATCTTTTTTTTCTTTTTTTTTTTTTATGTAACTTCTTATTTTAAATAAGATATTCTTTATTTTTATAACGTGTATTTAAAATATTTAACAATTAGATTTATATTTAATATTTTAGAAGTATATCATCATCGAGATTAGGTGTAATAATTTATGAAAATTATTCTATACGTGCACAATCTACAGGATCAAAAGTTTCTAGGTGATTTTCAAAACTGAATCATTCTTATTTGAGACTTTTTTTAAGTTGATTTTTTTTTTAAATTGTAAAATTACAAATCTAGAAACTTTTGGCCCATCCAATTAAGTATATAATCCAAAAAATATTTCGATTTCACACGGAACAAATTGTAATTAGAAAGTTCGAAGATTTACTGTCGATAACGTGTTTACAAAACGAGAGACAGGCGAGAAAGTCGTCGAACGAATTAGATTGATTATTACCTTTGCATCGGTGGTTTCACTTTCGATCAAAAAAATTATGCAATGCTCGTTCCCCTTTTTTTTATTTTATTTTTATTTTTATCGTCGCTTTTTTTTATTTGAAAGAACTAAAAAAAAAAATCGAAAGAGGAGAGAGAATGAATATTTTGTAATAAGGATACAGCAATAATTAGAAATAGTAATTCGAAAGATCTGTCTGGATTCGTTTCTCTTTGGTAATAAAATGTCATCGTGGTGGTTAGTTACGTTACTCTAATTTCTCTCTCTCTCTCTCTCTCTCTGCCTCATCGTTTATTACCTTATCAAATAATTTTCGTTCGGCGTACATAACAAAGTTAACAAGTTATCAAACAATCAACAGTAATTTTATTTCGCAATTTGCTCAACATTAATATTCTAATTAATATGCAAATTTGATTTAAGAAAAAGGAAAAAAGAATATAAACAAATTTCTTAATCAACATTTTCGTTTTTCTAATTTTCCAATTTTCATTTAGAAACTTTTGAATATCATCGTTTCTACGAAAAAGAAAAGTCATAGGAAAGAAGGAAGGAAAGAAAGAAAGAAAGAAAGAATGAATGAATGAATGAATGAATGAATGAATGAATGTATTTTTTCTCGTCTTAGAAAATATCACGACGCTTTTCATCTTCTTTCTCTCACGACTTTGAAAAACAAAGGAGAGTAATCGTTTTAACGAGTCAAAGAAAGAGAAGGTGGTTGAGAAAGAGGAGGGATTCTTTCAGACGACTAATATCGTCACGCATGGTCGACTTTTCATTCGTGAAATTCACTTTCCGCTCGTAAAGTCAAATAATCCGAATCGGATTCGCTTCCCCGTTCGGCAAGAGAAAGAAAGGGAAAGAGAGAAGAAAGTGAGAAGCCTCCTTGTGATTCGATTTCCTTTTATTTTCTATCGATCACCGATGACCTGGCACTTTTATCGATCATTCTTATGTTACTCAATTATTAGGAAGATATCGATTTAAAAAAAAAATCACAAGGATAATTTTAGTTATCAACATTAAGATTTCTAATTAGTCAATCAATTAGTAACGTTTAATCTTATAAATGTGATTACAAAAAAAATCTTATATAAAAACCTTTAAACTCTTAAAGCATATTAATAAATTGCATATTAATAAATTCCTTCTTATCCGTCGAGTATGATCCATAAAAAAAAAAGAGAAGAAAAAAAGAAAGAAAGAAAGGAGAAAAAAGACGACAAACAAGTAATCTCTCAAAACTCCTGGTACACACACGTAAACAATACGTAAATGTGCATTGCTGGGGTGTGTAGGATAGTGGATATTTTTTTTGAATACGCCCTCCGGTTTTATTCTCACCAAGAAAAAGATTTTTTTTTTGCATGGGGAACACTCGGTCAGAGATATACTACCTATCAGTATAACGAGCCGTCTCAGTTGAAACAGAAGAACAACCATCGAAACAAGAGAGCCGTACGTCTAACAAGCTACCGTAGAATGCATGCAACGTCGAAATGCATCCTCGGTGCAATGTCGCACTGCTTGCTTTTACCAAGAGAGAGACCTGCTGCTGCACTAATCCCGGAAAAGAAGTTCGAGTCTCTCTTGTTCCTTGTCTTTCTTATTACGAAAGTATCTGTCTGTCTGTCTGTCTCTTTCTTTCTTTTTTTCTTACTTTCTTTCTCTTCCTTCATCTTTCATCCTTCTATTCTTGTCACTATTTTTTATTTATCTTTTCTATATCCATCATATTTCTTGTCTCGCAAAATATCTATACAAATCGTGAATATATTTTTTTATTTTTATTTTTTTACTCTTTTTTATGGGAGGAGGGTGGAGGGAAGAAAAAAAAAAGATGTTTTGTATGACCTCGTAAAACTTCGAGACAACCTTGATTTTGTTTATAGTCATTAGACACCTTATCAATGTCATATTATTTATTCAACATTACCTATGCAAATATTTGACGTATGTAACGACATCGTGACACACTTCTACAAACCTCCATTCCGCTTTTACTCCTACTCTTTCTCCCTTCTCCCTTCTTCCTTCTTCTTCTGCCCCTCCTCTTCCTTCTATTTTTTCTCTTTGATCGCAACGACAAGTTTTAAAAGGGTCGATCCATTAGTTTTAACGCGATAAGCCGATGGGGTAAAATAAAAAATTCAATCGATGTTTAAATAAATCATTTATTTCAGAAGATATCTAACGGATTCCAATGGTGTTAACTGGTTTGAAAATTTTTTACTAATTTCACTATTTTACATATTTAACGATATTAATATTTTTTATTATTTTGAAAAAATTCTTTACACGTATTAAACGAAGAAATGAAAAAATTAAAACGTTAGAACACGAGAAGGGTCTATTTAAAAATAATACTCGTAACTATTATGCAGGCTAAAGTATTACGGTTATCTTGAGTTGAAGAACGGACGATAAGCGAGTAAATTCAATCATCAATATTTAACTAATTAAACGTTTATAAATTATCTGAGAGTATGTCATAGATAAGCCAATATGAGAAAAACGTTTTAAAGGAGAAAAATCGAAGTTTATTATATCGAATGAGATTCAAATTTTATATACATAATATTATTAGCTTCACCTTGAAATATATATATACACACATATACACACATGCATAAATAAATATATATATGTATATATACATATATATATATATATACATATACGTACGTATGAACGTACGTAGAGCTCAGTAGACTAGTTCAAACTCTAAACCGATTAGTGACTACGCGAAGCCCTAAGCAAAACTATATAGAAAAGCACACTCTTTGATACGGTTCGTCCGGAAATGCTTCAGTGCGATATACCACGATGTCCGAGGAGGGTTCAGTTAGGGAAAGAATTGCATCGTTGGAGGGTGAATATTAAAATTATTGTCTGAGCTCCTTATAAAAGGGAAAAAGAAATGAGGGGGAAAAGCTGGAAGTGAGGAAGAGGAAAGAAAAGAAAAATTGTTTAAATTTCATTTAGTCCGATACAAAAAATACTAATGATTAATGCTTATTGATCGAATTCATCGTATCGCGAATAATCGAATAATAAACGATGACTTCTCTCGTTTGACTAACTCCAAGTGTATGATTGATTGTACAGGAAGAAAAATGGCACCAGTTTTGGGTGTCCCACCTCCACCACCGCCTGCACCTCATATGGGACCTGATGGCCTAATTTTACCTAGGAAACCTTACAACCCTTGCCTCACATCTACCAATCATAAAGATCTACGTAGAGAGTTACTTTTTAATCAGAAAATGTAAGTTGAATAATACCATTTATATATATATATATATATATATATATATATATATACATGTGTTTAAAATTTAAAAAACTCTTCGTTTTAATTAATCATCTTAATAACAATTATTGTACGAAGCAAGATATTATTTTTAATTATTTTTTTCTCCAGAGGTAGAAACGTGTTAAATCAAAAAAGCGAGTTACAAAGAGCGTTAGAAAAGCAAAGAGAGAATGCATCTAGAAAAGAAGCTGAGAGAATTCGTGAAGAAACTTTTAAAGATGATCCAAGGACAGCGTTACAAAGGGCGATAGAGCAAAGGGCAAAACATATTCAAATAATGGTGAGTTATCTTCGATGAAGAAATAAATGATAAATATTCCTTTTCTGTTGAATGAAAGATCTATGTAAAAAATTGTTCGATCGTATCATCCAATTTAGTCGTATTTATTTATTTTTTCATATAAAAAAATTACTCTACTTCAAATATAATCATACTATTTCTATTTCATTCTAGCAAGAGCAATCACAACCAACGATGATTGAGCCAAATAATCTCTTGATAACGGCGAGAGCGAAATTAAGACCACGTACTGACTCGCAATGAATTAGAACAAATGTGGAAATTGGATCGAGCGATACGTGAATTAGAACAAACAAACGATCATTACGTTTTTCTTCATGGATTTTAATATCGGACGATCATTTTTTTAGGACGTAATTTTTGTGTATATAGATATACATACATGCATACATTTATATATATATATATATATAAATGTATGTATTTTTTAGAAAAGCAGGACCATAAACTCGCACTCCTTATAGCCATAGATAAGAAAAAAACAAAAACAAACGCGCGTATTTAAGGGAAAAAAGATGTATGTATTCCACATGGGAACGACGAGTTTGTAATATTTTTTCCTTTTTTTCATTTCTAAAGATTGAACAGAGAAGAAAAATAGAAATGACTTTAGACTATTTTTATGAGGAGTACGATTCGTAGTAAACGTTCATGCATAGATAGTTCAATGATAAAATACGAATCGTTGGATCGACTATTAAATGTCGATGTTAATTACCCTACAAGTTGCTTTCTGCTTAAACATGGAAGTATTATGATGATGATGATGATGACGATGATGATGATGATGGTAATGATGATGATGATGATGATGATGATGATGATGATGATGTAGATTCGTGTTCAACAGACAAAGACGAATTTATTTATAATGATCGTCTTTACACCATGGTGAGAGATTCTTCCGTGCCTCTATATGGGCTCGTTGCTGTTAGTCGGGACACACTATACTTTCACTTGATAATAACCATGAACCATGAAAAAAGAAAGAAAAAAAAGTATCTGTGAAATTTTCTTGACTTGTAGAAAAAGTGTCGATTGTATTTTTTTTTTCTTTTTCTATCGATTTTATTAACTCTATTAAAGTAGGACTATAACTCTGTTGCTTTTGGCTAATAAAATACATAATAATTTTTCAACTTTTGGAAACTATAATTTATAGTCAGACAAGCGATCGAGACACCACGAACACCGAGATAATATTCTTTTTTTTTGTGTGTGAAACATAGAGAAAATATTGGAATGAATATTTTGGGACCATACAAATAAAGCAAGATTGGATGATGAGGAAGAAGGCCTTAAATGAAATAGCAAAGTCAGATATATGATATAAGATTTTGTGGAAGAGAAAATATATATCTGTATTGTAACATACCGTTTCATATAGTAATAGTTAATTAATAAGTAGAAGCATGTGGTTATTGATGCATACGTTTCAAGACTGAGGGAACATGGACGAGATCAAGGCTTGAATATTCTAATATGTTTCAAATTACTATGTAGCGAATTAAGAAATACGAAAATAGTATCTATTTGACGCACTTATCATTTCATTGATCTAAAATATCGTTGAGTATATAATTTTCTTGATATATACATATATATATATATATATATATATATATATATATATATATATATATATATGTATATTATAATGAAATTGTTCTTTGTATCACTGCCACGTTTTTTGCATTAAAATTTGTTTATTGTTCGAACCAAGTTAATTACAATATATTAAGAACGTGACAATTATCACAGTGGTACAATTAAAATTTCAAATATATTTTATTTCATATAGTAATTTATAAAACATTCCTGTCATTTCCGATAATATATGGGAGAAATCAACAATAAAGAGAATACAAAAGCTATTACGAGAAAAACTCAACGAATGAAAATAAATCTCCAATATACTTCGGCAAAAAGCGATCGATCCGACTTAATTTTTTCAGGTACGCATTCGTTCAAAAAAAAGGACGATGAGAATATAAAAGACTTTTTCGATAATATTCGTGAAACAAGTATTTTTAACTTTGACATCAGAGCTGTTATTATAAGTATAAAGTAGTTATTCTTTTTCTTTTTTTTTCTTTTTTTTTTTTTTTACAATATCGAGGCTCATAGCACCCCTTACAATATCTTTTTTTCTCAAGGACGAAAGAAAGAAAAAATAATACTAATATTATGATGGTAACAAAATACTTGATGTACGTTTACTTGCGATGAATGCTAATTTTACATTGACGAAATAATTTTACGATGATTACGCTAAGTGCCCTCTGAGGGAATCGTAAAAGTGAGAATGAATTAATAATCATCTCCTCGAGAAATAACTTCCTTGCAAGTAGGACGTAATACAAGAGTATGCTCAAATTGGGCAGTGTAACATCCTTTGACATCGACTAGTGGCGGATAAGCTTCAACTGCACCTTTATCGCACAAATCTTTCAATGCCATTTGATACTTGGTACAACCGACACGATCCAACCAACGTTTACAAAATGCTAAAGTACCTAAAAAACGAAATGATATTACGTTAGAATTATTTATCATAAAATATTCATAAAAATTATCATACGTTATAATAATATCATTCTTTACCAAAATGCTTGTTTATAATATTAAGTAAAAATTTGCTGCTCTGTAATCTGAGCGGTACATATCCGGCATCAAAACTTTTCATATAATGAGAACATTCCAAATCATCATGGACGACACCTCTTCCGGTAGATCCAAATGTTTCAATCGCATAAAATTCATTTTCTTCCATTCTTGTGGCCTCGCCGCCTTTAACTATTGGTACTGTTTTTCCTGCATGTATTCGATAAGGTGCAATTGAATGTCCATTTAAATTTCTGATTGACTTAACCTGAAGAAAAAAGAAAATATTCATTTAAAATTGATATACATATAATGGCGCAAATCTTGCTCAGTTTACATACCTGATAAGTTTTACCATCTATTTCAACTTCGTATGATTCCATAACTTCTTGAATAGCAGCACCAACATCGCAAAGCTGAACATCAATACCAGCAGCTTTAATTCCAGTATTAGTAGCATCGCGAACTGCTTCAATAAGTTTATCATATTTTGGATTAAATGCTAAGGTGAATGCACAATCGATAATACGTCCATTGATGTGTGTGCCAAAATCTATTTTCGTAACATCATCGTATTCCAAAACAGTCGGATCTCCAGCATTAGGAGTATAATGAGCTGCACAATGATTTCTTGAGCAACCTGTTGGAAATGCCAATCCTGCTTTCAATCCGTCTTCTCCTATCAATTTTCTAGCCGTATCTTCCAATTCATTGCAAATTTCTATCATAGTCATTCCTGATTTAACCTGTAAAGAAAATAATTAATATAGGAAAGATTTATACTTTAAAGATTTATAAATCTTCGATAATATTAAGGATATATAATTATATACCCATTTCATAATATGCTTTCTTGTCTGCCTATGTGCTTCTGCAGCTTGTCTAGCTTCATTATAAATGTCGCTATGCATTCTGTCCAAAGCACGTGCTTCTTCGCTTGTAAAACGATTCTTAGCACTTCTTTCGTCAATTCCAGCGGCAGGAGGGTAATCCATTATTTCTCCGATAGGGAAGTTTCCATCGGGAAATAATTCTGAGACAGGAATTGAAGGTCGTTCAGTTTGTTGTTTAACCCCACCAGCCTTATTACGTGATTTACGTTTCTTCTTTTTTTTCTTAGCATCTTCATTTTCTGTTCCAGTTTCAGTTTCATTGTCATTTACTTCCGTTGACCCTTCATTAAAAACAAAACAATATTATTTTATTAAATATATCCACAGTTGAATTCTTATAATTGAAAATATATTTCAGGAAGGTATTTACCTTCAACAACTGTATCATCATTTTTTGTTTGATCATCCTCCTTTGCCTTATCATCTCCTTCTGGTACATCAGCACTTGCCTCTCCAGCACCTATACAATGATGTTTGTAAACATTAAATAAATAAAATATTGAATGTGTATTTTCGAATATTAAATTACTTTAATATTAATTATGTTATATATATATATATATATATATATATATATATATATATATAAAACAAATAATCGTTTATGAACTATTTTTATAAAGGTAAATTAAATACATGAAGCAAAGATGAATAATGCTGATATTGTAAGTATAAATCGTTCCACATGTTACACATTTTCCGTATTAACTTAATTTATTAGAAAAAAAATAACAGTAAAAATGTCCCACATAAGAAATCGATTAATACAAATATAATAGTTTGTCTTATTTAAAAAGAAAATAAGTAAATAAATAAACGTTGTTCATTTGGAAAAGAAAAAATATCTTTGAGTTAAAAAAAAAAAAAAAAAAAAAAAAAAGAAAAAAGGTACGTTGAACAGAACGTTGTGTTGGAAGCACGAGTGGGTTCAAGCGAACACACCCAAAAAAAAAATCTTAATGCAACATACCGGCCTTCTTCTTCTTCTTCTTCTTTTTTTTCTTTTTCGATGCTTCTGCTGCTCCAGTTTCGTCCTCTTGATCTACGATCTCATCTTTTTCCTCGTCTATTAATTTTTCGGCTGACTTGCCGACCTCTTCTAGTACAGCCGCCATTTTGAAGAGGAAGCTAAGCAATGTGCGTCGAAGATACAATATGCGTCGGTAACGTAGAGCGAACCTTCTATTGAATTATCAACAAAAATCTATAACAACGTGGATATGTTTTTATTTAAAAATATATATTATGTATATATATTATATATACATATATATATATATATATATGCATGTAAGTGAAACTACGAGACTACATAATAAAATTAAGTATCGGATTACGAGCTAAAGTTGTAGAACAATAGTCTCGAGTAAATATATAAAATAGATATTCTTTTTTAAGATTATCAGTTTTTTGTTACTCTATGCATGAAACAGAGAGAGAGAGAGAGAGAGAGAGAGAGAGAGAGAGAGAGAGAGAGAGGTGCTAAGGCACATGTGAATAAAAAGAGAGAACATAATAGTACTACTTGAGATGGAGCGATGTTTTTGGAAGAACACTCGAATGCGAGATATCGATAGTATTGCAAGTTGTTAAAATTATACTGCGAGATATATCGAGAATATAGTGCGAGTTAAATTTATTATAGTTACCATTTCCATTTTCGAGAGTTTCAATTTATATTGTTATTTCTTTTTATTATTTATAAGTTTCTACTTTAAGCGATTAAATATAACCTTAAAAAAACAATTAAAAATTACAAAAATGATTTAAAAAATAATTTCTCTGTCTCTCTCTCTCTCGCTTGCTCGTTTTGCAGTCTTAATAGTTGCTATATGTAATTAATCTCACGTATACGTATAGATTTTCTGTGACCCATTCAACTACGATCTAACGAGCAATCATAGAATCTACAGGTTCATCGTCAAACGAAACAAATACGAAATAGCTGCAGAAAAAATGTTTTATGCTCATAACCTCTCTTTTAATGAGCTTGCAATGCTCGATCTTCCAAGTATTATCTGTTAATTTATAAGGGAAAGAATATTAGAAAAAATTCGTTTATTTATCATCTAACTTAGTTCGGATCTTTTGTTTAAAAATGTACACCATCATATTTACATATACATATATATATATATAGTATTTTATTTATTTATTTACTAATTGGTTTTTGCAAAATTGAATGTATGCCATCTTCCATTATATTTATTCTCATCTATAACATAGAATTAATAGAATTCTAAGAGTTTATGTAATAACAAATCATATTCTATTAATAGTTTTTGTTTGTTTTTTGTAATTTCGTTAATACAATGGGACCATTAGGTGTTGAATACCACATTCTATTAATATACATGTATATAATATATGTTGAAAGAAAAATAACAACTTGTTATTTGTTATAAATCATGTATAAGTGTATGTAATATAAAATGGAACGATCTTGATGAAAGGTTTTTCTTTTGCTATAGATTTTCCTTTCCTTCAATTAGAAAAATCATTTTGTAACGCATAAATAGGTTTATTTTCTAGAAAAATTACGCTTACGCTTATCCTACTGCAGAAAGAATTAGTTCGGCAACATCTGGATCTGGACATAGGACACTTAATTGCATTGTTACTTGATTATCTGACAATGCTAGTCTTGCACGTGCAAGTACTTCCTTACCGCCTCTGAAAACACCACTTAATAATAGATTATGCGACGCAGATCCCGGATGTATTCTATCGCTACGTTCTACCGCATCTAATCCTAAAAATCCTGTAAGACTTTGTATTGCTCCTTCTAAACTTGTCACTGTAGCTCCCAGAGCAAAAGTTTCTTCCAATTTAGCATATCCTTTGGCAGCAGATGCATCCCAAAGTGCACCAAAATCTACTCCCCTACTTCCTACACCTCGAATTTGATCGGCTATTGTAATTTCCAAATCTTCCAGCTAAATTTAAAACAGGTACAATTACAAAGATAATATAAACATTTATAGGATCGATCATATTAAACTATTAATGATTATAATACCATGTATTCGTCGCAATAACCCTGATCAGTGTCTGGAACGCCTGTCGTAGGATCACAATCACGTGCCATAAAACGTAGAGTCGTAGGCATGGTCGCAACACTAACATGTACATCTTCTGGATAAGTTAATACTGTGTAAGTTGTTCCTGGTTCGTTATAGGACAAACGTGGACAAGGTACTTCACATAGAACGGTGTAACTAAAAAATAATATATATATATATACATATATTATTAATATATATTCAATAGAATTATCTGAAATAAGAATAATATGCATCTTACCCTTCGGTTGCTTCGATAGCCACTCTAACGTCTTCCAAAAATTGATCAGAAAGTGTATTTATACAATCGAATTGCAAAATGAGATGTTCCGCGAATGTGTGTTTGATACATTTCACGTTATATTCTGTTTCAGATTCAGTTAATTCAAATACAGTAGAAGATTTCAGAAGGGAAGATCCTCTGATAATATTCGCTATTTGTGGTATTTGTGATAATTTTTCTATGAAGCTCTCTTCCCTTGTTAAGCGCGGTTGTGACTTTATAGTAGTATGTATTTCTACTTGTGCTGGTTCCTCTATAGTTTGTGCTGGTGGTACCTGTACGATAATTTAATAAGATTTACGTGTATAAAATAAAATAAAAAAGAAAAGAAAAGAAAAAAAAAAAGAATTACCTGGGAAACATCAAACGGTTCTTCCATAGACGTTTTCATATAATTTCGTAAAGCTCTTTCCAAACTAGGTATGGAAAAAAGAGGAGGCTGTATCAATGGCAATACTGTTGGATCATTTTGTTCTTGTAAAATCGTACAATAGTATGCTGCGCGATCTCGAACTTCATCGTCGGAATCTAATTGACAACGAGATAAAAGTACAAGAACATTTGGAAGAAGAGGTGGGCATGCTGCAGCAAAACGGGCTAAAGCTGTTACAGCAGCAGCACGTACACTTGCACTTTCAAGAATGACACGATTATAGATAAAACGAATGTATCTCGATGGTTGTTTGGATGTCGGTCCTTCTTGTCCCAACAGATGCAATATACGTACTGCAAGAGAAATGTGTTCACAATCTTCTATAAATTCACACAAGTGTGCTAAGCCTGCCTCTTTGGCTTCAGCATTTCCTTCCATAACAGCTATGATAGTATCGGCTATAGCTGCTTTGTATTCGAGACCGCCTTCATCTCTTAACATAGCAGAAAGGAAATTCATTAAAACCGTATGCTTGCGTGGGAACTTTTGACACAAAGCTCTGTAACAAAATAGAAAATAAAATTATCTGATTAGAGATTATAATATTATCAATAAAAAGTTAAGAATAAAATGTACCTTATTGCTTGTACGACAACAACTTTAAATTCATCTGAAATTTCTGATACAAAAGTAGCAATCTGTTTCATCAAACGATCTACAGAACTTTCTGCTCCAGTTTTTAAAAGTGTTGTAATAGCTAAAGTAGCAATTGATCTATTGGAATCTGTGATTAAGTTTTCTAAATCCAAATTACATGCTGTAACTGCTGCTGGATGTGTCATTGCAACTTTATTTAAAGTTCTAACAGCAGCAAATCTAAGAGCTGGCTTAGGAGATCCACAGAACAATTGTAACACACTGATAGCAGGTCCAATTTCTTTAAGGCCGCTTCTTCCAAGATTAACCAATGCGTGAGCTGCTTCATAAACAATAATTTCTGATTTATGACGCAAACATGCTTCAATATATCCTAACAGATCTTCTCCTTCTTCCATATCGTCCAAAAGTTTGCATGCCATTCTTATCAACATACAACCTGCATAAGGACTTTTAGGACTGGTTCTCATAAGTTTTGCTACTAATTTGATAACAGCGAGTTTATCTGTTTTTCTTGCTTGATATAAAACACCTAATGCATGGTATTGTACCATTACATTGGTAGAATTTAAAGCCTCTTGGGCTTCGTAGGCCCATCTTCTGGCAACATCACTGGATACACTGGTCAAATGTAGAGATGAAACCAATGCGGCACTAGATACTGCTGGAGAACGATCAACAATTGCTTGTTTCATGTAACGTTCAATTGCTGCTAACATGCCACCGTCAGTAATAGTGCACAAAGCTCTTATCGCAGCAGCTCTATATAAATCTTCTTTTCCAGTCATATCTTTTGTAAGACTGGATGTAACTATAATCACATCTTCTGCCAATGAACTTAATTCTTTTATACCCAAATAAACTAAACGCCTCAATACTATATCTCTGGATTGGAATAACTTGGTCATTGCAAAAAATGCTTCCGTTGCTTCAGTAGTACCCAATTGTTCTCCTTGATTCAACAGGTACAATATTTTGGTAAGAATATGAGCACATTTTTTTGGATTTACAGGGGTGTCATTAAAAGTGCGTGCCTCCTGGAGTACAGTAGTTTTCTCTAAGTTTTGAAAAGGATTTCCGCCTCCTAATAAGTCAAGATATAAAAGAGATATAAAATACATTAAGTTATTAATAACAATAATTTTATAAGCAGATGTTTACAAATATCTGTCAAATTAGGCTATATTGCAAAATGCAATTATATATTAAAAAGTTACATGCAAATCTATATAGTTATATAGATATTATTATTATTAATTCATAATTACCTTCTTCCTCTTCCTTTTTGTCGCGTTTAAAAGCATTCATTTTGCAATATTATAAATGAAAAACCTGGAAAATAATGGACACGTCACCTTGACTCTCTGATAAACCAATCATCAAAACTTCTTTTTCAACGGAGTAATAATATGGCGTGTGCTGTTGTATTTTGTCGAATTATTAAAGAAATTGCTTGTATTTTACGAGAAATTTAAAATGATTTTGGTAACAAGATAACTATATGTTAAACAAATTTTAACTAGAATGTATTCAATATTACACGTGATCAATATTCTATCTTATAGCATCCTTGCAATATCAACGAAAACGCATCTACGATAACGCGCATCAACGTAATGTACATCTTTACCGACTAAGATCATATATTATTAAAAAAGAACATACATAAGATCAATCATTTAATCATAAATTATACGTATATACGTATATATATATATATATTTAAATATATATATATATGTGTCTATTTTATATATATGTATATATATATATATATATATAAATTCTCATCTAACTTAGTTTACATTCATTCCGTAAGAGGAGCCACGATGAGAATACCATAGGACGCATAGAGTTCGTGAAGATTTAACGTTACCGTTGCTGCCAGGCGAAGTTGAACTTTTGCGTATATCGCATGTTATCGAGGATTGCGCGCGAGTTTTGTCCCTTGTCTCGTTGCAGTCGGTGGTCGAGCTTTATTCTAGAGTGTCAGCAACGAGCGTGTTCCCTTGTTCTCTTTGTGTTTTCTCCTGGGCTGCTCTTATCTGCATAAGGACATAGTCATCGAGAAGCAAAGTTTTTTTTGGCCTTGTTTCGAAACGTCGTTTCGAGTGCAATTCGAATAATAAAAAAAAAAAAAAAGTATAAAACAAACAAAAAAAAACCAAAACAAAAATAACAAAATAAAAAGAAAACAACAAAATGTCGTACGCTATTGTACTTTTAACAATTTCGTGTCTCTGTACCGGCTTTGCAGTAGGTAAGAGGAAAAAATTAGTTTAATTTCATTCAAAGACGTTTTCCGAATTTTTGATCTCTCTCTTTCTTTCTCTCTTTCATCTTGGTGATGACGCGCATGGTATGCAACGATTCTTAGAATGGACGAGTCCATCGTTCCTTTCAGAATCATCGATAACATATACGAATTCATTGGTGACCCATTATTATTCTCCTCGTATATGTTTACTTTGAGTAACGTAACACGGTCCTCTTTCCTGCGTCCGATATTCGATAAAATAGCCTTCGATATCGATGCTATTCTTATGCCATTGTACCTTTATTAAACTCTTCGATTTCCGATCGTAGCGCTTTTTTTTTCTTTTTTTTTCTTTTTTTTTCTTATTCGCAAATCTGATTTTGTTTTATTACGTATACACCAAGGAACAAATTGGGAAATATTCAGAAGTAGCTTTCGTTATAATATTAAAAAAAAAAAAGATATAATCAGTTTTTTTTATCTATTATCTTTGAATTTTATTCGACGATTACGTTGAATTCAATGAATTACGAATTCGATGAATCATTTCAAGCAACTTTCATTGTTCCATTTTCTTTTGGGTGGGTCGTTTCGTTTGGGTGGGTAATATTTTTTTCTCCCGAGTGAGAGAAATAAATGAAACAAAAAAGGAACCTGTATGCACATACATATGTATATATATATTCATATATTTACATATGTATGTGGATATGAATCTTCTCGACCGTTCAGCCGGCTTTTTTTGCTGGATTATACTTGACTATTGCCTGCCTGTGCCCCGTCTGCTTGCTTGTGTACTGATTTGATCATTAATATATACGAAAAACCAATCACTATTTGAAAAGATCTTAGGTCGACCTTTCTTATCTTTTATGTATTGGCATTTATATTCGTGAGTCCATATTTAAAACATTTTTTGAGTATCTTTTGTGCTTCCTCTAAAGGTTACCGGAAATTATACGATATAAATGCTCGATATGTATAATAGATCAGAGACACATCATTTAGTATACACGAATAATAATGATGATAATAATGTTTAATCATCATTTAATTTGCTTCACTATATATATTTTTATCTATTTTTTTGTTTTGTTTTATTATTACAATTAATGATCACAATAATGGTCACTGATTTGATTAGTTTTTTTACTCGCTAAATTAAACAAATATCGCGCGAAATATGAACGTGATCCTTTTTTTTTTACGAACATAACAGCTACCACACTTTTATTTGATCGATTAAATGATTCTCAATGAAAATAAATGAATAAAATTATTACAACAATGTATTAAATGAAATTTGTTCGCGGTGCAGTTACATGTAAAACCCAAACATATTTAATGTTTCCTTAAGTTATGAGTCGATTTAGAACAATGAATATGACGAATCTTGTTTTAGTGAATTTTAATATCGATTAAATATAAAATATTCTTCGTAAAACACATTTGTTTGTGCATATTTTATATATTATTTTGATACTGTTAATTAAAGTCTATAGATAAGAATGCACATGTTATCAGAATGTGATATGCTACCAACGAATTTGATAACTAACGGCAACAAAAATTCATTATAACATATTCGTGATTTTATTTATCTTCATTTGTTTAGCAAATATATATATATATATATATATATATATATATATATTTTTTTTTAAATGAATATAGCTTGATTTTTACATTATTATTCAAATATATATTAAATATTAATATGTATGTACATTAAATATAAATACCTAATTTGTTGTCCCTTTTTTTTCTTTTTTTAATACAATAACATTTTACAGAAAATAATAAACTAAATGAAGTCACAATGAATATTTCAATATAACATAATATACGTGTAATAGATATAGGATCTGCATGATAAAACTCAATGATAATGGAATTATTTAAAAGAATCTGATAAAATTCTTCGATAATAATTTGCGACAATAGATAAGAATAATATATAAATTAGTTTTTAATTTATATAATTTCTTTGAATTAGTATATACCTATCTAACAATTATATCATATTAATTATTAAATTATTTCAGATGTAATGAATCTTTAAAAATAATATCTAACTAAACGTTACAATTTTGTGATATCGATTGTTAAAGATTAGATTGTTATCTTTTCGAATTGTGAGTTAAAAAATATATGCTTGACCGATAATTCCTTTTATCTAATACCCCTTTTTTCTCTTTTCTTTATTGCGTATTTTAATAGGCACAGAATATATGTTATAATACGGAAAAAAAATGTAATTTGCATACGAAGTAACAGCTAAACGTTTATTTATTTCAAATATTCTTTTCGACGTCTGATTCGACGAATTTTGTGGGGGAAAAGTAGATAAGGAAAAAATAATATGAACCTAATCAGAGAAATCTAATATGAGGATAAAACAATGACTCATACTATATACATACACAAATATTAATACGTCGACTGTTTTATGTACATAGGTAATATCAAATAATTTATATTTTTCTTTTACAGGTATGGAATGTACTTATAAAGATTCAAAGAATTTGTTCGAAAAAATGATGACTAGTTGTCCCGTATTATGGGATTCTAGTAAATCATATTGTTGTTATGATTTAGCAAATGAAAATTATTACTGTTGCACTCAAGAAGAATTTGCTATGACAATGGGGTATATCGAGATTTATACATTTTTATTAAAATTTTATATGAATTATTATTATTATTATTATTTTTAATATCTCTGTAAAACAATTATTATTAAACTAATTAATATATCATCGTCTTCCAGACTTGGTATCATCGTACCTGTGGTTATCGCTGCTGGTATTATTGTATCATTAATAGTTTGCTGCATTTCTTGTTTATACTGCAGCTGCTGCCCATGGTATCGTCGACGCCATCAAGGCACCGTTTATGGGAGTAAGTAACTATTTTGAGAAAGTCTGTGAATTGATCCAACATATTGCAAATTATTTCATTCAATTTAAGATCAAAGTTGTAATAATATACATTTTTCTTATTCCCTGAAAGATAAATAATATATTAATATAATGCAATTATTATAGTTTTTTTTTATCTTTTTTCTTTTTTCTTTTTTCTCCATATAACATTACAATTTTACATTCTTTTTACATATAACTGTTGTCAGAGGCAGCTAGGACGAATATTTTCTAGATACAAACAGAAAAGCACAAATAGTTAATATGAATAATTATACAAATCTATTTTAATAGTTGTTTTAAATAAGAATATAATTATCATTATGTATTATTAATATTATTAAAATGATCTCTTATCATTTGTGTTACACTCAATAACTAATTGAGTTATATAATTGTTTTTAGGACCAACTATGGCATAATTTTCTGGCATCATCTATTTGAATTAGATTAAGATTGGCTTATGTCTAACTTTTTATGCAGCTAAAAATTTATAAAAATTTATAAACACTGTATGTGTGTATAAATATATATATATATATAAATATATATACACACATACATATAATACATTCCATTTTAGAAATAAGACATAATTTTTTGTATAATTTTCTTAGCATAATCTTCATATATTTTGCAGTTACAAATTAATAAAATAAAATATATGAAACAATTATGCTATATAATGCTTCTCGAAAGGAAGTCTCTCTACTGTTTTCTAGAATTCTAAGTATAATAGTGTCTAATTTTATATGTTAATATATTCAATACTTTTTATGATACACATGATAGCAAGAGAAAATACAATGTTCCTATATACGCTCATGTACTATAAACCCATATTCCTCTCAGTCGATTTTTTACGAAAAAAAAAAAAAATGTATTTTATATAAAAAAGAATAATAGTCCTATCTACACGTTACATAAGAAACCAGTGAGAAATTACATGAATTAAAACCACTATATATGTACTATAAAGATCTAATATATTGTATTTGTTTAAAAACACGCGTATTATACAATATTATTATAGACATTTCACATACACATACACACATATATATATATATATTGCTTTTTATACACATGTAATGATATATAGGTAAAACAACACGTGCTATTTTTTTGTACTGCTTTAATAATAAAAGAAATTTGTGCAAGAAAATTACATTTCTTTTTATCCTTGATATGAAATTATTTTTCAGTACTGTGCTTTCTACGGTTTTTCTCTTTTTTTTTCTTTTTTTTTCTTCTTTCTTTTTCTTTTTTTTTTTTTTTTTTTTTTAATTTCAATATTTAAATATTCGCCCACTGTCTCTGAAAATGAAAATTATTGAAAATTGTTCTTTCAGAACATGGTAGTATATTAATTTTTGTTATAGAAGTACAAACACCAAGTGTTGTTCATGTGATACAAACTTCAACAAATCCTCCATCTGATTATGCCAATCAAACAGAGCAAAATCATTATACACCATATCCAACTAATGTTGGAGGTAATCTTTTATTATATTTCATATTATTATTTTATCTCCCAATGAAAACGTATATATGTGATTTCCATTCTATGTCTAATTTAATAGGAATGCCACAACCACCACCAGCTTATACAATCGAACCTTATGGCCGGCAGGCACCATATAATCCTGGATATGTACAATAATAACAAAAACACCAGTATAATCTATATATGAATATATTTAGTATAACTTCGATCAAATTGTTTGTTACCTTCAATGTCAATAATTCTAATTACAGTTTTAACAAAAAAAAAAAAAAAAAGAAAAAAAAAATGGATGCCATAAAAATGTTCACATTTTGTACTATTACATCAATATGGATTTTATATCTGTTGAAACTTAGAATAAATTTGTCGAACATATTTTGAAAAAAAGAAAAAAAAAAAAAAGAAAGGAAAAAGAAAAAAAAAGATATATAAATATTCCTCATAATATATACTTAATCATTTTCAAATAATAAGAATGATTTTCATTTATAAAATATGCAAATAATGTTAAACTATTTTCATGCTCTGTTATATTATATATTTTCGTTTTAAATATAAGGCGAATATATTAAGATTAATATACTCATTTTTTCATTTACCCAATGTACAGTCTTTACGATATTTTTTTGTAAGTTAAATGATTAACATAACTATGACACATGATGGAGCATGTATGTTTCTATTTATTTTATATGTATAAATTATCCAGTCTTATTCATCATTAGTTGGAAGTTTTCAATGTTTCTCATATTTACAACAATGTAAATATATAATTAATTTATCTATGTTATAAGATAAGATTTTTTCATCAACCAGTTTGTATATGTATTATCAATCGTTCGATAAAATATTATGTTATCTTTATTATGTTTTCAAAGTCAATTATTTCGTACAATTACTTCTAATACTACGTTTTTCTTACGTTACAGATAAGGCAACAAACGCTCCTTTTTTGGTGCTTCATAAAAAATCTAACAGAGAATCATTGTGCTGTTGTACGGATGTCTGTTATAATATAATATAATATAATTACCAGCATACTCTGTAATGATAATTATGTCAGGTACAAGTTGCTGGAGAATATTACCAATTCGACAAACGAATAACATTTTCTTTATATATTCATCTAACATAGCACATTGATACTCCCATTATACATATTACCATCTCTTAAATATAAATAAAAATTATATACATTTTTTGCACATTGAACGGCCCATCAAAATGAAAGTTTTTTATATAATTTATATAGAACAATTTTACAATAATTCTAACAACGTTACTAGAATTGTTTTTTCAAAATTAAATATTTAGCATGTTCATAGATACATTATTATTATATATTATTATGATGATTATCACTAAATAGAGTGAAATCTGCTTTGGTCATATAGATATGTAAAATATCTTATGAATATATTCATTAGCACGTGTCCAATGTGCATGGAAAATCGAATTAAATATAATCTAAGTTATAGATTATTTTGCTGATTAGGAAGTTAATTGAATTAAATTACCCTAAAAGGAATCTCACATATATCATGATTTAGTTGGCATTCGAGAAAAGAATAAAAATTGTATAGCATCTAATTATTCTGGGAATGTATGCTATAAAAAAATGTTATATTCATTACACTATTATTATACACGAAAGTATCCTTGCGATAATTAAAATATATACCAAAAGCTCAAAGGGAGGATATTGCCCAATTCACATTTGTGGTAACTGATCAATAGGCGTTGCAAATTTGAAGTCTTCTGGAAATAGTTTACTTGCATGCGGATACATGAGCTTGTAAGACTGTCTGATCGTAACATCTGCAACTCCTGCAATATCTCCAATCTCTTTTTGTGATCTCTTGTCTTCCGAAGCCTGTAATATATTAATAAAAAGAAATTGAAATATTTCGTTTAATTAATTATAATGTTTCGTCAACTATATGAAGAAATATACATACTTGTGATGCCATATAAATTGCAGCTGCAGCTACTGAAATAGGTGATCTTCCAGGTACAATATCAATTTCTACTGCTTTTCGAGCAATATGCGTTGCAGCCCTTTGTACCATATTTGGAAGACCAAGATTGGAACAGAATCTTGACATAAAGTCTCCTGTTGTGATGAGATCCACGCTCGTTTCCAGTGCCTTCAATATCAGCTTAAAACATCTGCCGATTTCTTTTTTACTAATTTTGCTAACGGCACAAATTTCTTTGAAAGTCCGTGGTACTCCCTCTTGTCTACATGCAATATACAGACAAGCTGATGCAATAGCATCATTGGCGCGTCCTTTCAAATTTTTCCCATCATGTACTTGTTTAAAAAGATTATTAGCTCTGTCTACAATGGTTTTTGGTAAATTAATACGATCTGCCATTCCATTGATCTCACGAAATGCATTGATTAATGCTCTGTCAGAACTACTCATCTAGAATTATATTTCAATATCAATTGATATCATAGAAAAAAAAATGTTGCAAATTAATGTTAAATATGTCATACTAACTGTACGTCTATTTTGATATTTGGAAGCACCAAAAGCATCAAAAGAAGCAGCACCAGTTCCAGGTCCAATCATGGTAGACAAATCTGAACCATTAAGTAAAGGATTCTCAGGACCACCAACACGGGACGGATCAACACCAGCTTTTTCATTACTAAACGTCCTCCATTCTGAACCTACGTCTATGACCCTAATATCAACAAGATAAATTGATACTTTTAACGCTGTTGAACATATTTCTTTATCTTTATTTTATTTTGTCTTCTCACCTGTCACCCACTACTAATCCACACTCTGAACATATCTGATCACCAGCTCTGTGATCTTCGATAAGTGGTGCATCTGGATGTGCATAACAACACACTTTGTTTGTGTCATGCCTGTAAAATTTTTTATATAATGTATTTATTATTTATATTTTATGATAATGATATTTTGCATATCATCTATCTTTTACAATGATGATGCACTTAACTACAGCTAATCACATGCAATTCTAATAAAAACCATGACATAATTTCGTTTTCACAGTACAATAACTACGTTATAATAACTGAATCACTTCTTAATAATATTTAAATGAATCTTATAGAATTAATAAATAAATTAAGAAATGAAATATGATTGTATCAAAAGTCATAACCTCAAAAATTCAATCGAAAGAATTTTAATCTTAATATTTGAATTTTTGTTAAGTTTGTTTTTACAAAATAATATTATCTAGGAAATGTTGCAAAATAACGATTAAGGACAACAAAAAAAAAATACATAGGTTGAAAAATTCTTTATCTCACCTTGAAAAACTTGCCATATTTCTTAAAAGTGTAGTCGATACACTACATACCATATACCTATTTAAAAAACATGGCTGCAATACAATTCGTTTCTCATGTATATCCGTTATTAGTGTGTGTTGTCTACCAACATAACAAAAAAACCCTATTCGTAAGAAGCTGAGATAAACATAACTTACGGTGTAAAACAAATTATATACTTTTTAAAATAAATATAATCTAATATTTTTTTATTAATTATATAAAATGACATTAAAAATATGTATTCATATTAAAAATTATGTCTTCGATTCGTTTGTCTATTTATAAATTATATAATACATAATAATAATAACAATTTCTATCATAAATTTGTACTTGCGAATAATTGAGATTTTCTTCTTTTTTATATATAATAACAAATATCTTTAATAGTGTTTTGTTACAAATGATACAAACGTACAGGAATATAATCAAGTTTAGAATAAAAAAAAGAAAAAAATATTCTTATGTAACATCGATAATGCAGATATCTATCAAGTCTAGTTTAAATTTGCTTCAGCTAATCTGTTATAAAAAATTTGATTTTTTTCCTAAAAAAATAATAAAAAAAAAAAATAATAATAATAATAAAAAAAAGAAGTAATTACGAATATCCTTAAGATGCATTTTAAGCAAATTAATAATCTGATAATTTAAATTAGAAGGATACTAATATATCTCTAAGATGTATAATATAATATGCAATAATTGCAAGGAAATAATAATAATAATAATAATAATAGAGAGTTAGAAATAACGAATAATTCTAGGAACAGCTTTTATTGATAGAGATAAAAGAAGTTTTCATTGTTTTTAATGTCTATAGCCAATTAAAAATTGTTATAATGTTTAAATCTATTATGCAAGAAATAATACTGACGAAATATTTATACATGGATTGTTTGTGTTTTCAATTGAATTTCATAAATTATACATGTGTGAAAAATAAATTAACGAAATTGGCATACAATATCGTTTAGTGAAAACTAAAATACGATTGACATATTTATTTTATATGGCTTGTGTTAATTTGACGTACAAGCCATTTTTTTTCTTTTTATATACGGTTTGTATCTCTATTATAAAGCAATCGGTGAAACATATAAATATACCACAGATACCCATTAAATACTACGCTAATGTCTACAAATATATTTCGTGTGCAAAGAATATTATGTTCAAAAAAAAAGAAAAAAAAAAGAATGAATATTAAATTCCATCTTGAAATAGGACTCTTTCATCCAAAACTCTACTATAAAACAAAGATGGGACAAATTATACATCGGATACGCATGATTCATATTCTGTTTTTTTTTTTTTTTATCTTATTCTTTTTCCTATTTTTTTTTTCTTTCTTTCCTTTTTGAAACTTTTTATTAAAATGAAATTTTTGTAGAGCATGTGTAAAGATTCAAAAGAATGTAATTGAGATTTTGTGAGCGAGTCTTAAATGCTATTTGTCTCTGTGTGTGTTCGAAGACTGATTTCTCTTTTACTTTTTTTTTCTTTCTTTCATTTCTCTCTAATAATAATGCACGTTACGGAATTGGTTAGATAAACAATTCGAATATATTATATCCGATTTTATGAAGCTCCGAGCGAGCATATAATGCATACATTAAATAAACGTGACCATTTAAATATAACACTTTTCAGTCCAGCGATAAAAGTTTAAATACAGATTCTTGAATAATCAGAATATGTACATCATTATTATGAGGATAATAAATAACAAAAATCTATCCAAATCGTTGTGCCAATATTCAATACCTGTATACTGTATATACGCACGAGTTTAACATTGGTCTTTATAAAAATGAAAATGTATACAATTATAGTAACCGATTTTTTAGCTGCTAAGTTGTTACATAAGTACTCTTTTATGATTAGAGCATACCGCAGAAAAGAATTAGTATGATTACTCTCTCCTTTCTTTCTTTCTTTCATTTCTTTCTCTTTCTCCCTCC